CAACCATTATATCACCATCATCACCACCACAACCATTACATCATCACCATCACAATCATTACAACATCATTACCACAACAACAACCATTACATCATCACCATCACAACAACCATTACATCATCACCATCACCACAACCATTACAACATCACCATCACAATCATTACAACATCATTACCACCACAACAACAACCATTACATCATCACCATCACAACAACAACCATTACATCATCACCACAACAACAACCATTACATCATCACCATCACAACAACCATTACATCATCACCATCCCAACAACAACCATTACATCATCATTACCACCACAACAACCATTACCATTACATCATCACCATTACAACCATTACATCATCACCATCACAACCATTACATCATCACCACCACAACAACCATTACATCATCACCATCACAACCACACCATCACCATCACAACCATTACAACATCATCACCACCACCACAACCATTACATCATCACCGCCACATCATCACCATCACAACCATTACAACATCATCACCACAACAACCATCACATCATCACCATCACAACCATTATATCACCATCACAACCATTACATCATCATCACCACAACATTACATCATCACCACTACCACAATATTACATCATCACCACCACAACCATTACATCACCACCACCACAACCATTACATCACCACCACCACAACCATTACATCATCACCACCACCACAACCATTACATCATTATCATCATCATCATCATCATCATCACCAATACAACCATCATCTCCACAAGCTAAGAATTGTTAGTAACACTGATGTAGACGAGTGTAAAAATCACTTGAAAATGACATCAACAATAATTTTTCATTTATTTTGAGCACACCTTTTTACAAACTGAGCAGATATTGATGTTAGAAATCAGAGTACATTTATGTTAAATAAGTTATTCTGTTTTATTTCTACCTACCTCTGAACATGATACATCTCATAGCTTCTGTTGCGAATGTCTGCGGTAAAGCGTAACTAAGATACCGCAGAGGATACGGTATAGCTTCAACTGGCCATATTATACCTAAAAACAAAACAACGTAAATGATATATTCCCTGTCAGTAATTTACTGACTTTGATATTTAAAATTATACACAATGAGCACAGTAATGTAAATCTTTCAATAATTTAGGTTTCATACAAATCAATACAGTTGAATTTCATGAAGACATGATTACATTTTTTTGACCATTCATTCAAAAAGACCCTTGCCAATTAACCATGAGTCTTTGCAGCAAATCATTCCAGTTGAAATAAGCAATCACTCACAAGCCATTCACCCATTCAAATTTGGCCCAGGAGAGCAAAACAAAACTTGTTTAATTTTTTTTTTTTTTTAATTTTACACAATTAATTTAATGTCATGCATTCAGCACATTTGAGATCTATAAAAAAAACATTCATGTCTTCATGAAATTCACTGTTAGCATTAGCTTTGATCAAAATTATTGACTGGATATAATACATAAATGAAATTATGTACCCATACAACTCAACCTGCAATCTTTCTAAGTTTCACTTTTTGTATGTCAATGTCAAATTTTTCATTTTACATAGAATAAACCACATATAGCATTTTCAAATATATCACCCAAAATCAACAAAGCAAAATACATAAAAATGTGGAAAACTTTGCACAACATTTAGACAGGAAATTGAAATCTGAGAAACAGTTGTGGACATGTTCAAGATATTAGGGAATTTGATGCTAAAAACGGCCATCAGTAGGCCATATTTAACCTAATAAAAAAGTAAATTAATGAGCATATGTGTTGAGATCACGTATTGTATAGGTTAGTCAGAAGTTGGTCAATGCATTTCAAAGAAAGCATAGAAGTGTATGTTACTACTAAAGCACCAATATTATGAAAATTTAGACTTATACTTGTAGCTACAGTAACTATCAACATTATTCATTCTTTTTCTGAGGGTTTCCCACCTGAAATTATCCTTACAGATT